AATTTAATTTCAGGCCAACAACTATAATATATGCATGCATCTCAAGCTGTAGATTGGCTGTGACTGGCTAGGTTTCGCTTGGGGTATTTGCAGTCTGTTGCCCGAGTTGCTGTGATGTCATGGGATAATTATGGACGTTGGCTGCTCAGTGAGCTTTTGGCAACAGAATTGGGAGCTCTTCCATATGTTCACAGATACCTTAAGAGGTTTGTGATGTTGCACCAGTTTGCTTTTCCTGCCACTTCTATGCCCCTTGCCTCTGCCACCATTTTTAAAACAGCAGCTGTGCATGCATATGTCAATAAGCCAGGATAACACAGATATGCAGGGACACACAGATGGGCCCTAATCCAGCATTTCAGGTCCCATACCCCAGATGATTTTTTAAATCCAAAGGTTCATGATTCCTATTTATTATAATCCAAAATACTAAAATGGCTATCACTCTTTTTCTTGATAAGAATAGAAGAAACTGGCAAGATTAGCAGGAAGTTATGAAGGTCAAATTGCAACAAATACAGTATATGCAGAGACTTTTGTATTATATTCATTTAAAATTATTCTAAAGCAATTTTAATAGCTTTTTTTTGTACTCATAGGCAGATCTAGAATAACTTTGCAGGCTTAGAAGCTCCCATGAGTAGGGTTGCCAGATACATGGGTACCAAAAGGAGGACATAGAAAGACAAAAAAGAAGACAGAGGAGGACATATTGAATGTTTCATTTGAATCATTCCGGATTAAACCCGCAATCAATACAATTTTATTACAATAGCTGCCAATAAATGTCTCTTAGTGAACCGACCAAGAAGCAGTCATGTTAAAAAATAAAAATAAATTCAATGGAGGCTTTTCCCCCCCAAAATACCAAAAAAATTATTTAAATAGCCAATTGTACCCAAACCCACCCTGACCTGGCTGTGGGATGATCTGGCTGCTTGCACTCTCCACAGGCTCAGAGGCAACCTTGCTAATCTGGATGCCCAAACAAGGCTCTGGCGCAGGCAGGGGGAATGTGACGCCGGGCAAAACCGAATAAGGCAGCCTCCGCTCCCCTGAGGGTCATAAGTTCAAGGCTGGGGAGTGTGGGAGTTGGAGTCCCCAAACGGGACTTTGAACACATACAGTCTGGGCACTCGCCTTTCCATCAATGCACTTGGGCACTGCTTGCTCCTGCCTGGCTTTGTGGGCTCTGCTCGTGCTGCCTTTCTGGGCTCCACATGGGCGGGCATGGCAGATCGCTGAGCAGCTGCTGCCGCGGCGCAAAGGGATGAGGGCTGCATTCCATTGCTGGCAGCAGGTAACAGGGGGCAGGCAGGCAGGCAGGTGGGGGTGGGAAAAGACAGGGGGAGGGAGGGTCCTTCCACCTCTCCCCCTCCCATCCAAAATTATAACATAAAATATACAAAAGCCTGACATTTTAAAGGTTTTTAACTTTGCCTGACAGATGGAGGACATTAGGCTTGACCTCTGGCAACCCTACTCATGAGGGGATTGTTTGTGTACAATCAATCCTTCCAAAAAGGGATTCAATTATCCTATGTTCCTTGATGACCATTGCTTTGAAAATGACAAACATGGAATGACATTCATATTCCTTTCACTTAAAAATATGGGTTCTGGGTCAGAGTACATAACATTAACAAGCCTTAAGAGAACCTCACAAAGAATGCAGTAATAAAATACAGTGAAGTATCAACTCTTTAAAAAATTGATCTTAGAACTGCAGAGTTGGAACGGACCCAATGGATCACTAAATCCAGCCCCTGGAACACTGCGGAATCAAACTCCCAGCCTGTGGATCTTCAGCCAGATACCTAAACCACTGAGCTACCCAGTATTGAAATAAGAAGGACAAAAGCCTCATCCACCAGGTATAACCAGATTTCCATTAAAAACCAAGTTAAGTGCCTGAAAGAATTAAAAAATTCTACATAAACAGTAATAATGCTTAAGCACAGGCTGCCTAAAAATATGCAATACATAACATAAACATTCCTTCAAAAAGTGTTATAGCATTCAGGTGGCACCAAAGAGGCAAATTGTCTAATAAAAGCTTAAGAGAGAAAGAGAAGAAGGAAGGAGTGGCAGCTGATAAGACTTTGGAGAGTTGGTAGCAAAGGGGCAAATTGTCTAATAAAAGCTTAAGAGAGAAAGAGAAGAAGGAAGGAGTGGCAGCTGATAAGACTTTGGACAGTCGGTAGCAAATCAGAGTGCTTCTGATATTATTCATTTTTAATGCAAAGGAGATTCTTTGTACTAATAATGAATTTATTTATTTATTTATTTGATTTATATCCCGCCTATCTGGACCAACGGCCCACTCTAGGCGGCTTCCAATACAAGACAATAAAAACAAAAATATACATAATCAATCAATAGCAATTATAATAAATAAAATAGAAAAGAGTTAAAAGAAAAATCAGGAATTAGCTGGAGGGAAGGCCTGGATGTAAAGCCAAGTTTTTAATTGTATTATTTATTTATTTGATTTATATCCCGCCTATCTGGACCAACGGCCCACTCTAGGCGGCTTCCAATACAAGACAATAAAAACAAAAATATACATAATCAATCAATAGCAATTATAATAAATAAAATAGAAAAGAGTTAAAAGAAAAATCAGGAATTAGCTGGAGGGAAGGCCTGGATGTAAAGCCAAGTTTTTAATTGGGTTTTAAAAACAGCTATAGGTATGAGATAAAACAGTTGTACTGGTTCAGACCCAAGGCCTATCTTGACACATTCTTTGTTGTCACAGTAACCAGCCAGATGCTATTGGGAGCCTGGAAGCAGGATGTTAGTGCAGAAGTATTCTCCTCGTTGTGTTGCCTTTTCTTTTGTGCCACTCCAATGCTAGAACAGGTATTTTAGAGCAGCGATTGATAGTTGTGCCTTCTATGCAATTTCTTTAATCCTCTTTTTAAGGTTGTTCAAATTGGTAACCATCACTATATCCTGCAGCAGCATACTGCACAATTTAATCATAGGTGTGTGTACTTCATCTACCTTTATTTTGAATCAGAGGTGCAAGGATAATGCAGGGTGAAAGTTTCTTACTTTTTTTATCCTATATATAATTTTATGGACAGCCATCACCAGCTTAGGCAGCATAGGCGTATATAAAATGTTGAGATCATTTGTCCAGGTGAAGTGCTGTTGCCTTTTTTGTGGCCATTTTCCAAATTTGGGCCAGCCTTTTACGGTTCGTTTTTGGTAACCTAAACTTTGTTTTATTTATCTCAAATTTCAGCCTTTGGTCTTGTTTCAACTGGGTCACTTTGTTATCTGTAGGTGCAGTGGTAGCATATAGTTCTCCATGGATGCCCATTGTACCCATGAGTGAACATGGGTACAATGGAACATAAAGCTGTTCAGCTCACTGTTTTCACACACAAGGCAGAATGCATAGGTTGTCAAATACAACTGCCGACTATATGGTACCACACACCTCTTCTTACAGAGAATTATCTGCATATGGCAGCTGCATAATGCACTTGTATTCATAAGTACACACAGGCATAATTGTTCTACATGGACCGTGGCAACTCAAGCAGCTATGCAAATAGCTTTAAGAATTAATTGTGAGTTGTTATTGTGAGTCCCCGTCGCTTGTCCCAGCTCCTGCCAACCTAGCAGTTTGAAAGCATACAAAATGCAAAATGCGAGTAGATAAATAGGTACCACCACGGTGGGAAGGTAACAGCGTTCTGTGTCTAGTCGTGTTGGCCACGTGACCACGGAGGATTGTCTGTGGACAAACGCTAGCTCTATGGGTTGGAAATGGAGATGAGCACCGCCCCCTAGAGTCTGACATGACTGGACAAAATTGTCAAGGGGAACCTTTCCCTTTCCCTGTTATTTAAGAAAGAAGTGCCTAACAAATACTGTACATTCTTCCTTCCCATCCCTCTTGGCATAATGTCAGAAATAAAAGAAAGAAAATATTGATTAATTTCTTCTATTTCTTCTCAATGCCTGGATAAACTTCCTCATACTCTCCGAACACCACCCATGGATGGTGGAATAAAGCTCATGTTGAGCCTGTTAACATGTAAACATTAAAATACAGCACTGGAGGGGAAGCTTAAAGTGATGGTTTGAAATTATGTGCAATAATTGATGGCATTTATATATTTAATATGAAGAATCAATAGTGGGTGGTAAAGTGCTGGAATTAATTTTCTTCAGTCGAAGGCTAGAATAAATTGAGCAATAAAAAGCTCACCTGCCCAACCTACAATAAATTCACCCAAAATTGTGACCATCTGCAAACTAACTTGAGAGAAATCCTCAGTGGGACCTCTTTTCGGAGCTAACACTGGGCTGCACGTACAATCAAACTCTAGTCTAGATAGTATTCGCAAAGGCTTTCACGGCCGGGATCTAATGGTTGTTGTGGGTTTTTCTGGCTCTTTGGCCGTGTTCTGAAGGTTGTTCTTCCTAAGGTTTCACCAGTCTCTGTGCCCGGCATCTTCAGAGGACACCACTCTGCGCTCTGGTGTAGTTGACTTTGGGAGTGCAGTATTTATGAAGATGCCGGCCAGAGACTGGCGAAACCTTAGGAAAAACAACCTTCAGAACACAGCCAAAGAGCCCGAAAAACCCACAACAACCAAAATCTAGATAGGTTTACTCGGAAGTAGGTACCAGTGAGTTCCATGGGTTTTACTTCCAAGTAAACAGGCATAAGATGCAGACTTCACTCACAAAAGAGTGTTGCAAATTAGTCTGAGGAAGCCTGCATTTCTGGCAGTTTCGAGAGAGAGTCGCCGTACTTTTTCTTACGAAAAACAAAGGCAGCCGAGTGACCAGTTCGCGGATGCGGCCCAACCGGCCGCCTAGAGCCACCGTGGCTACCCCAGAGCCGCCGGGCGGCGACTGTTGTCACTCCCTCTCTGAAGCGAAAGGGAAAAAGACGGCCCTGAAGGGCGCCCTGAGAAAGGGCTCCGCCAGGTCTCGCGAGAAAGCGGGCGTCGGCCATTTTGCCATTGATTGGCACTGACGGGAGGGAGGGAGCTGAGGCGTAGCTGTCCTCGCGGAGGGGAAGGCGGGGGGTGAGGGGGAGCCGCTCGCACAGGCCGTGAGGGAAAAGAGGAGGGGACGGCCAAGGTAGTCAAGATGGTCAGCCTTCTAAGAGCCGCCGCTCTTTCTTCTTCTTCTTCTTCCTCCTCCTTTTCCCTCACCGGCGGCTCCTTTTGCTGACGACGACTGCTCGCCCGAGCTTGCCTCCTCCTCCTCCCCCGGGCTGGCTGCGCCACTAGCCATGGTGCCCAGCGAGGAGAACCAGCTGGTCCCCAAAGAGGTGAGTAGCCAGCCCTTCGCGCTCGCCGCGGGTAGGCCTGCGCCTGTAGGAAAGCGAGCGGCGCCTGCCCCGCTGGCAGCAGCAGCGGTAGTCGTCGCCGCGGCGGTGGTAGCGGTAGCGAGGAGTCCCGGAGTGTGCGTGTCGTGAAGGCCTTGTTGTCGAGGGTGGCCGGGTACAGAAACTCGGCCGGGGCCCTGAGTAGGTGAAGCGACTTCGACAGGACCCGGGCCTTTCCTCGGGGCGGGAACGGAGCCGCCTGACGGCTTGAAGAGCCGGCGGCGTCTCTGGCTTTGGAGCAGTGGGAGCTTGGGGGCGGGCGGGTTAGAGCCGTTGATCTTTTTGGAGGAGCCTGGCTTTTTGGGACCCTGCGAAGCCTTGCGAGGAAGACTCACCAAAAAAACATTTTGCGGGACGCCAAGGGGCAACACGCGTGGTGGAGTTCAACTCTCGTGGGGGGTGGAATCAACCTGTCACTGCGAGAAATCTTTGGAAGGTCCAAGAAGGAGCATTTCCTTTCTGGAAGGAATCCGGGTGGGGGTTAGGGGAATTTTCCACTTACCCGCCTGGGCAGGACGATCTGGATGATGAGGACTTTTGATGAGGGCTGCTAAGATGGGATCTGTCTTGTCTCTTTTGGTTTCTTCGAAAGGGCTTGGAAGAGCTAGAGAGTAACTGTAGGAGAGTTCTGGACGTAATTAAAGCTGGGTTTCAACACTGGATTTCTCTGACAGGTGGAAATGAAAGTTAAAATATTGCAGGAGGGGAGTTTTCTGATTAAGTATGGAGGTGTTTTGTGACTTTTAGTAAATCGTCGTGCCTTTTCCACATCACCTTGCTAGTTGTTCTGGATCTCCTGATTGCTGTGTGTGAATTGGGAATTCATACCAGAACTCATATAATATTGGCTTTGCGGTTGTGAATCATAGAGGAAGATAAGCTTTTGATGGACAAAGATCATTCTCCATGACTGATCTTCTCATTGTGAAACACTCCCCATGAAATTTCCCCTAAACATAGTTTGAAAACCAGTGGGTTTGATATTAGTAAAAGAAAATTGAACCATTAACACAGACTTTCACATATAAGGAGCAGCTTGATGTGTTAGTCTGAACCACATAGCTGCTTCTCAAGCTATGGTTATTTTGGGCTGCCTTGAGTCCCCAAATGTCTTCCAGTTTTTAGCTCAACTCCCAAAATGCCTACCTATAGGCAACTGTGGCTGGTGCTTTGCAGAAAGGATACCAGATGTGGTGTAGTGAATTGCATGACAGACTAGAACTCAGGAGGTCTGAATTCGAATCCCCCTTTAGCTATGGAAGCTCACTGGGGTGTGGAACTGGTGAAACCACTCCTTAAATCTCTCACTTACCTTGAAGGTCTTGTTAGTGTCACTATAAGCTGGTTTTGATTTGAAGGCACGTAAAAACAACAAGGGACACTGCCTCTGTGCTGCAAGGTCAGAAGATCAGCAGTTGTAAGATCGAATCAGGACAGAGTGAGCTCCCGTCGCTTGTCCCAGCTCCTGCCAACCTAGCAGTTGGAAAGCATGCAAATGCAAGTAGATAAATAGGGACCACCTCAGTGGGAAGGTAATGGCATTCCATGTCTAGTCGCTCTGGCCACATGACCACGGAAACTGTGTACGGACAAACGCTGGCTCTACGGCTTGGAGACGGGGATGAGCACCACGCCCTAGAGTCGGACACGACTGGACTAAATGTCAAGGGGAACCTTTACCTAAAAACAACAAAATGTTGCAAATAAAGATATCATTAGATATACTGTAGTACTGGAGTCTTTGCATGCTAGTGGCATTTTTGCAAGTATGCAAAAGTTATTTGTGTGTGCTTGATTTGTTAGAGTATAATTTTGCACTTAATGTAATTTACAAAATTTACTGAGGATGTAGGAACAGCTAATGGACATCTGTGAGGTAAAGATAGCAAATAAGTGTGACTTTTACAATAATTCTTCTGATAACCAACTAGTCCTTAATAATGTTAACAGTAAGCAGTGTATGGATGACTTCACAGTGGTGATGTACTATGTAATAACAGTACATGGTAATTTGACCCTAAATTCCTTCAGTATAATTACATTGTGCAACATACACTTGTTTAACACATTTCCACTACATTGGAGCATATATGCAACTTGGTAGGGAGCTTGCTCATAAAGATTCAGCTGCGTCTGAAAACTGTTTTGTTTCTGGTTCTCCCCATCCCTCTGATTACCAGTAGAACATATCTTGATGTCACACCATTATAGGTTCCCATACCCCTATCAGTGTTTAAATCCAACAATACAATAAGATTGTAAAAGTTAATGGGAAAAATAAAATATTAGACCAAATATTTTAGTGGAATTAGGACTAATTTTTGAATTGTCATTCTGCTCATAAAGCTGAAGGACCACCTCATTAACGATATATGAGGATGTTCCTGTGGTAAATATATAATGATGTATGGCAAGCATGGATACCTCCTGAATTATAACAAAATGAACAATGGTAGTGCAGTATCATGTGCCAACCAAGAAGCAAAGAAAGCTAGTGGCATAAGGCCTTTGGCACTACTTGTAGATAACTGCCATAGCCTGGAATGATTAATGGCAGGGTTTGGCTGTGATAATCATTCCTGTAGTTATTAAAATACACTTAGAAGCTTATTTTTAACAGCTTGAGTTAGGCAGTTTTAATGCTTTTCCTATTTGAGGTATATGAAGGGATTCTGGAAGATAATATTGAAGAGCAATATTACCTGGAAGATAATATTGAAGAAATAAATTTCCCATATCTATAGATAGTATATAGGCTTTTCAGTGCTTTATTTTATATTGCGCAGATCCTGTTTTATATTTCTGGTAACATAACTAGTAGTGATTTGCCACATGTTAAGAAATTAATGTAAGTATTTCCTATCATATAAAAAGTCATGCAGTTGGTGTAAGATAGGACATGCATACTCTGACTTTTCAACTTGAGGCAATTTGCTGTTGAGAGTTAAGCTGCTGGTGTTAATACTGGTAGGCATAACTAATAGGAATCTGGCCACTAATCTGTACTTTTTCAGTGTTTCTGAACCTCTATTTCAGTGGTTCCCAACCTTGTGCAATCCAGGTGTTCTTGGACTACAATTCTGAGAAACCCTGGCCAGCACAGCTGGTGGTGAAGGCTTCTGGGATTTGCTGGGTTACCTAAGGCTGGGAACCACCTTTCTAAGTGATTAAAAAAAGTTGCAGCTTGCTTGACTTGGAAGTTGCTGTACTTGCAGTGTAAACTTAATAGTGTCAGTATATGTTTATAGTTGTACCGTGTTTCCCTGAAAATAAGACAGGGTCCTGTATTTATTTCTGCTTGAAAAAATGCATTAGGGCTTGTTTTCAGGGGATTTCTCTCCCCCCCCCCATGTACAACAATCTACATTTATTCAAATACAATCATGTCATTTTCTTCTAGTTGCTGCACAATGGTGGAGGGCGGGGTTTCACTTAACTAGGGCTTATTTTTGGGGTAGGGCTTATAGTACGAGCATCCTGAAAAATCATACTAGGGCTTATTTTCAGGTTAGGACTCATTTCCAGGGAGACAGGGTAATAACTTTCTAGAGTTGCAGTCTTAATTTAATGAATATCAAAAGTGAAGGAAGAGGGGGCATTGCTATTTGTTAATGATGACGAGAGAAGTAAAGTGCAGTGTTGGACGATTTTGCAAATTTTTCTGTTTACCGAATTTTTTGTTGTGATTAACATTGCATTCAGTCCTGTAGATTTGTTCATACTTTAATAGTATCAGAATGACTTACCGTATTTTTCCATATATAAGACTATACTGTTGTCTAAAATCTTTAGACTAAAAATTTAGGGTCGTCTTATGCACGAAAGTAAGCTGAGGAGAAAAACAAGTGGAAGGGAAAGCAGGGATCAAAGTGATCCTGCAGGGCTTTGATCCCTGCTTTACCATCAACTTTCTTTGTTGTTTAGTCGTTTAGTCATGTCCGACTCTTCATGACCCCATGGACCAGAGCATGCCAGGCCCTCCTATCTTCCACTGCCTCCCGGAGTTGTGTCAAATTCATTCTGGTAGCTTCGATGATACTGTCCAACCATTTCATCCTCTGTCGGCCTCTTCTCCTCTTGCCTTCACACTTTCTTAACATCAAGGTATTTTCCAAGGAGTTTTCTCTTCTCATGAGATGGCCAAAGTATTGGAGCCTCAGCTTCAGGATCTGTCCTTCCAGTGAGCACTCAGGGTTGATTTCCTTTAGAATTGATAGGTTTGTTCTCCTTGCAGTCCAGGGGACTCTCAAGAGCCTCCTCCAGCACCACAATTCAAAGGCATCAATTCTTCGGTGGTCAGCTTTCTTCATGGTCCAGCTCTCACTTCCATACATCACTACGGGGAAAACCATAGCTTTGACTATTCGGACTTTTGTCGGCAAGGTGATGTCTCTGCTTTTTAAGATTTTGTCTAGGTTTGTCATCGCTTTCCTCCCAAGAAGAAGGCGTC